TACACAAAGCAATGCTACATCGTAATATATAGTGCTAGATTTTAATAACCAAGCTGGCATTCAGCTGAAGGTATCTGACAGCCTATTATGAATTTATTTTTTTTGTTATCAGCATACAATAATAATGAGGTATCAATGAAGTCAGGCAGATTATGTAACAAAGCAATATATAAACTGTGCAAAGGCTCTCACAAACCACTTTTTATTTCTCTTCCCAGAACCATGTGGATTACTAAACCCCATTTAATACACAAAGAGCTGAAATCCAGTATTGGAAGTTTTTCAAAGGTATCCAAACAGAGCTGGACTTTAAAAACTGGATGGAATGCACTATCCTTTTGCCAGCCCTATAGAATGGGCCAAGTCAAGAAACAAGAAGGAAGATAAGAAAGACAATATAATTAATATTGGCTACAGTAACAGAATCTTGAAGCCTGACAGCTTTTGTCCTTCCTTCACTCTTATATAGCCCTTAAGACACAAAGTAGTAATCCTGACTTTCTCATTCCTTTCCAAGCAAAGTTTCCCACAGTTATGGCATATTTTCTTCAAGGCTTTCTCCATACTGCTTTATCTATTCTCAAAAGCATCAAGACCATAATTCTTACATGATTTTGAGCTTTTAAAAATATTATTTTCAAAAATATGTTTATTAAAATTCCATTTTCATCTAAAGACTGAACCATTATTTTTCTTTAACCAAGTGACAAACAGATCTGTTACTGTTCTTTAAATATCAGTGAATTGCTACATGCTTTAAGTATCACTAGTATAAATTATCAGGGTCCATATGAGAATAGCAGTCACAAAGAAAAATAATTAATCACTGTTTATGAGGAAACAAGTTTTAAAAAACTGACTTCTATTACTTCTGTTACTTACTTCTATTAAGGTAACAAGTGCTTCTTTTAATTTAATTCTTTCTTATTTGAAGAAAAACAATTAAGTCACTTATTGAGGAAGCATCCAGAAAATAATGAATAAAAACAGTAGCAAGCAATCAGAAACAGCACAATTCAACAACAGCTTATTTCAAGACTGATGTACTGGACTCAATAGCTACTATTATGTAATCAACAGTTTACACATCCCCACCCCTTGCACTTTGAAGAAACAGGATAGAAATAATATTGACAGTTTTGAACTTTGGAATTAGAGAAGACTCTTGAGAATACCATGCACAATCAAGAAAACTATCAAATAGATCATAGAATAAAACAATCCAGAATTCTCACTTGAAAAACATGTGACAAGGTTCAAATTATTATGTTTTAGATACATGATGAAAAGATCCCGGTCCTTAAGAAGATCATAATGCTGGGAAAGAGGGAAGGAAAGAGGAAAAGAGGAAAAGAGGGCAATCAGCAGCAAGGAGAATGGATCTGATTAGACCAGGAATGGTGCACTTTTGGAAGACCTAAAGGATCAGATTGGGGACAGATTACTATGAAGAGGATCTATCCATATGGACAATAGGACCCATCACTTAATTTATGGCACTCAGATACTCAATCAAAGCAGTCTAAAATTTACTCATATCCAGTCTGATATTTACAAATAGTGCTAAGAAAAAGTGATAGAAATTCACAATGACACTTTTTTTCAGACTAGAATTTCATAAAACTACTTCAGTACGCTTTTGGATAACACCTAAAAATAGAGCAATTGTTTTCATAACCAGATCAATATTTTTCTAATTTGAGAAGATGAATGGTAGGCAACTGTTAATTAAATTATCACTTCAAGGGAATGGTCTTCTAATTCCAGGGAATGTACAAAGGTGGATGTTTTCCATTTTTCTTGTATTAGTTTTTAAATATAGCTCTGAAAAGCTATCAAAAGGCATGTCAGATGATGAATACATTCAAAGAAAATCAAGTGCACTTTTAACTTCCTAAAAGATGAGTTCTTTCAAAGAGAACAGATAAATTATGCCTCAACATAATATACAAGGAAACAGAACCTCAGTGTAGAAGAATCAACATCACCAAAAATGTTGCAGTCATTTAAGCCAAGGGTAAACTAATTCAGAAGAATCATTATTTCTTAAGGAAACAGAGAAACTATTTTAAAAAAAGGCAGCTTCCCTACCTCTATATAGAAACCCAACACATCAAGTAGAGGTTTCTGCTAAAGTTAGTTTTATATTATGCTGGTTTTATATTGGAAGCACTAAAATATGATTCTTCTTCAATTACAAATGTTTTCATTCAAAACTCTGTCTCTTATAACTGCCACTCTTCTTTGCATAAGTACCTAGAGGATCTCTGAATATAATAGCTGAAAATAGATAGGAGTTTACAGAAACTGGAATATGTCTTCTAAAGAATGTGCAAATGGATCTGGCCTACACAAATCTGGAAAACCAATAAGTGATAACAAAAATTTAGAGTTTACTGTTTGCCTTTGGCATCAAGACGTGACTGTAGGGATTTGGCAATTCCCAGATCTGGCAAACCTAATAATAACTAATTCTACGTTTACAGCTAATACCAGTTATCCCTTCTTCTTTTTCTTGATTTAAGTTACTTAATTAATAATATGTCTTTTAAAACAGATACTTTGTGAGCAACAATGTAGACATAAAGAAGGGAAGTGCATTCAGTAAGGCTTGGATAATAGCTAAAATACTGAAAAGATGCTGAATACTGAAACTTTGCTGATCTGCATGAAATATCCCAGTGTAACTGGGGTTTCTCAACAGTGGCTATAGTTCTGCATCTAATCTATGATAAATTGTTGAAAAAAAATGAGAGAGTTTGGGTTTACTTATTGGCAGAGAAGAGACTGGATACTTACATTCTAAGGCATGATAAAGTAATTCAAAATCATCCTTTGTTTTAGGATGCATTCTTCGATTATACTCCCTTAGCAATTTTAATTCCCTCTCTCTCTGTTTTCTTAGTTCTTCTTGCCTTTCCCATTCCAGTCTCAATCTTAACTGTTCTTTTAGTTTGTTTACCCATTGAATAGCTAGCCATCGTCGATAATAGGTTTGGATTACGATGATCTACACACAGGGAGAGAAAACAAAGAGCAATTAATTAAATTAATATTTGTGGAAAGTATAAAGTTCTGTAATATTTCTACAAAAACAAGTGATTTTGTCAATCAAGCAGTTCATGCAGTGGTGGGATTCAAATATGTGAACCACCAGTTCTCTGTGTGGATGTCCATTCTGGGTCTGGGCAACAAAAAATTAGCTACTGGTTCTGCCGAAGTGGTGCAAACTGGCTGAATCCCACCACTGAGTTATGTCACACTAGCAAATTTTAAGTATTTTTCTCTAGAAAGAGCTTAACCACCAGCAGAATCTGAATGGCCACCAGGCAAAGTGTTGGGTTGTCATGCAATGTGCTTCCTTCTTTACTTTAGAAAATCTTCAACTCATTTTTGATGCAAACTATAATTCAAAAATATCAAAACTGTTCTCCCATTATCTAGCAATGGAAAAACAGATATTTAATGGTACTTAAAATTTTCTTCATTTTTATGAGAAGGGAATAGTTGTTCATAAAGGTTTGAACAATAATAGGAAATGCAGCATGCCAAAGCTCATAAAAAATCTGTTCAGAAATTTTAAAATTGTCAGTATCTTGGTGTTCATAAGTTTGCTTCTTCTGCAAAATTTTCTTGCCAAATTAGGTAATAGTGCCTCTAAAACTGTTCCTTAAAATTTCAGAACGTTCTTGCATTCAACCAAAAAAACCAACAACCTTACAATGAAGCTATATGCTATGATCGATTAACAACAGATCCTATCTCCTTCCCATCCTGCTCCCACCTCCCCTTCTTTTAATTGGGTTGCAGTGTTTGGCTTTTGGGATTAATTTCTTTATGTTTTTAGTTTAAATAATTTTTACCTTTTATGACTGTAAGCCACCTAGAATTACCCTGAGGTAAGATGGGAGGCCTATAAATTGTACATAAAATATTTTCTAAATAAGGCAAAAAATAAGTTTTGAGTTTTCAGACTATACTTTTACAATCTGCAGAGCTCATTCTGATTTGAGAATAGATGTATTAAACAACTACATTAACAGTAAAACAAAAACAAAAAACCATTGCCCTCCCCTTTTCTGGCATAGCTGCAATAGTTTCAGAACTATTCAGAACTATTCAGAACCCTGAAGATTTTTCAATCAAAACAAGAAGATGTGGATCCAGTCCCAACTTGGGTAAGTTAAAGTCTATCCCAAATTACCTCTGATTTGGGCATCATCCTGAGCCAGAACATGATAGTCACTAGATTAGTGAAATGGTAGGGAAAAAACCACTGCCATTTATTAAAATAAATTCTCAACTCTGTGAAAACTTTGTTACAATCTGATCTTTAGTAAAACCCCTACTATGTTCAGTGACACTTAATTTGTGGAAGAATTGCAGGTTTAAGGAGGGGACACTGGAAATGCTTGTATATTTGAACTACCTTTTTATATATTCCAATGAAATTATATTTTGTGTTCAGTTCCCCATTGCAGGGTGAAAGAAATTTTCATTGTTATATATGTGAATGCCTCTTGTGCTAAAGTACAACATCTGCAACATAAGAGATCCTAAATGGCAGCATCTTAACTAATAAATATCTCACTAACACAAAGGAAATACAAATAAATATTTCAGAGGCAGAAAATATGAAATAAATTTAAATCTATCATAATGTTGTAGAAAAGATTTTGAACATTTTCTGATCACTTTAATCTTATGGAGTAGTAAAAATTAATCCTTAATTAATTTTTAAACCAGTTTAAAAATCAGTGAAAGGTTGAGATGTTCTGCTGGGAATACAAACAAAACTATCAGCTGCTTTAATTGGGCTTTCCAAGTTCTTTGACAAATAAATAAAATTATCCATAACTTCGGTACTATATACAAATACTTTCAAATGTAGCTCTCTACTTCTCATTTGTTAGAATATTTAAACAAAAATGTGTATTAAAAAGAATTTGAATTTCTTTTGAAATGCAAGATTCAAATTTCACATGTTAAGTTTCACATGCCTGAAACACACTGCAATCTCAAAGACACAGATATACAGAAACACTCAGGAGTATGATACATCAAACTGAGGGAAGGTAGGAGGCATGCTGTTCCTTTAACCAACGCATATAACTTGCTTAACTAATTAAAGTTAGCTTGCAATAATCCTGGTCTTATTCGGAGCTAAGCTATTTGTAAGAATATTTCAAGTGATAATAAAAATGGAGTCCTTGTGGAATCAGTGGTATATGAATGTGATTGATAAATTGAGTATATAAACCCAATTTAGATTAAGGGCTTTAATCCCAGGAAAGTATGCAAAACTGCAATCTTTTTTAATGATAATTATTCAGTTGACTGTATACTTACCGCCTTAAGTCGTCGTGCATGATATTCTTCAGCTGTAACATATGGCTTTGGTTCTATAAGCTTATCAGTGACATTTGACACATAAACACCAATTTTTGTCATTTGTGTAGAAGTTGTATTTATGGTCTGTTGTAATTTCTTTCTTTCTACCACTGTCTAGAATTAAATAAAAGTATTAATTTTAAAAAGGTTAAGCATTTTTGTATAAATTAATTAAACTGAATTAAAAATTAATTTATGAATGCATTAAATTAACAAATATATAGAATTATAGAATGGAATTATTTAATTATCCTATTCTAATAGACTGGAACATATTTAACTTCCAGATCAGTTTTTCTGGCCCATATCTCAGGGTCTTCATTCTTTATGAACATATCTGGGCTGACTTACTGAATACTTTGTATTTTCTGTATAAATTAATTAAACTGATCAAAAGCTAATTTATGAATGCAATAAAATATATAAAATTAAAGAATTAAATTATTTATTAGTTTCTAATATACAGAAATAGATTTAATTTCCAAATACTTTTTCTTGCATATATCTCAAGGTTTTCAGTCTTTCTGAACATACCTGTGTTGACCTACAGAATTCTTCATATTCTTTGTCTAGACGTTTTTTGGGATCTGTCTGTGATCCTGCATTATGATATTCTGTGCCTGTTTCCTTATGTCTAAATCCACCCAAGAATGGTTTTTCGAATGTTGGTCTTTTAATTTCTATACATACATCCTGAAAAGTGTCTGGCTCTGTTCAG